CTCTCTCTCTGCCTAAAAAAAAAAGAAAAAAAAAAAAGAACTTTGGCTAGAGAGTCTAAGGATTTTTATTGGGCAGCTATTGTCTTGGCAACAGATTCTACAGTATCTTTAAGAGTTAAAGAGAGGTTTCTGATCATATGCTCATGTACCTTTACTCCTAACCAGGGAAGTGTAGCCCTGCCAAAGGAAGTGAATCCTGAATCCTGAAAAATCCTTTCTAACTCAATGATCTAACTCGATGATTCCTTTCTAACTCAATTCTTTCTCCAACTCGGTGATGTAAATCCAGGGCAACTGTACAATGAGGTGTCTTAGTTCATTTGTGGAGAGCCTAGGGGCACAGTTGGATAACCTAAAAGGCATTTCCTGGCTATGTGCTAGCTATCTTGTCATTCATAGGCCCAAGGGGAGTGATAATTACCACAAAGACAACCCCTCTCAGGGCACAAAACACTTCTCAGTAAGATGGCACTGTTAATGGATTCATTCTCAGGGATTGTTGCATTTGTCCATTCAAGCCAGGGGTCAGTTAGGTCTTCTCTCAGCCTGAAATAAAAAGTTGTTCTAAGTTCCAGAGGTTATCCCCCTTAGCCATGGCCCAGGAGATATGGATGATGGCATTATCTTTCTAGGCCAGCTCCAGAGTGAAGGAAAGAAAGGGAAGAAGAAAGGGTTTCGTATTTAGTCAGTTAAAGTATGAAGTCTTGATCTGGCATCTTGGGAGGAAGCAGTCTACCTCCATGTCAGCTACTTCTCTTCCTAGTCACTTTGGCTGGAACATCTCCAGTGTTTGTGTAGGACCCGATGTCAGGTGGGACCTTCTTCAGCTGTGAGATGCATGTCCAAGTCCCTGGAGTCTGACCACCATCTGGGTGGTGAGGAGGACCTGGGGTAGTCCCTTCCAAGGACTTTCAGGAGCAATCTGTGTTCTTATTGATTCCAAATCAAAAGGGTGAGAGAACATTGGAAATGTTAATTTGAAGAGCCAGAGCCAGATTTTTTTAGGAAACTAGAATAATTCAGGATCCAGTTTATAAGTATGTAATAGAACCTCGGAGACAATTAACAGGATTAGAATCTAATACAGATGATAGTGTAAACATAAGTTCATCTCTCTACACTTACCTTCATTTTTTTACAGAAGAATTAGTTTGTTTACATTAAACTTTGCCTGATTATTTACATAAGTGCAGCAAGAATAGTGACTGACCACGTAAGTTCTTTTTAAGACTGCTTTGCTGGAATCTTACAAGCAAAGTGCCAGGTCAATCTTTCCATGAGGCTTTATTGGCTCTGTAAAGTCAACCTTAGTTTCTTTCTTTCTTTTCTTTCCTTCTTCCTTCCTTCCTTTTCTTTCTTTCTTTCTTTCTTTCTTTCTTTCTTTCTTTCTTTCTTTCTTTCTTTCTTTCTAGTTTTGAGAGAAAGAGGAGGGGCAGAGAGAAAGGGAGAGAGAGAATCCCAAGCAGGCTCCATGCTGTCAGTGCAGAGTCCAATGTGGGGCTCGATCCCACGAACTGTGTGATCGTGACCTGAGCCGAGATCAAGAGCCAGATGCTTAACCAACTGAGCCACCCAGGCACCCCAAGTTGATCTTAGTTTCTTGAAAGTGTCTGGTCATATCTGAGTCTATGCATAATGTTCTCAAATATGGTATTCCAGTCAGAGCTTTGGTAATATAACCAATGTTTCTAATTGTGTCTTGTTACAAGGAGATCAGATTCTCATTGAACCTATGTAAACAACTCACTGTAGCTTCCCTGGAACAACATGGGCTTGAACTGTGTGGGTCCATTATATGTGGATTCTTTTTTCAATAAATATACAACAGTAAGTGTATTTTCTCTTCCTTATGATTTTCTTCATAACATCTTATTTTCTCTTACTTTACTGCACGAATACCATATATAACACATCTAACATATAAAATATGTGTTAATTGTTTCTCTTATCAGTAAGGCTTTTGGTCAATAGTAGGCTACTAGTAGTTATACTTTGGAGGAATAAAAAGTTATACAGGGATTTTTGACTACACAGGGAGGGACATTCAGTGTCCCTAACCCCTATGTTGTTCAAGGGTCAACTGTATATTGTCATGAAAAGACTACCTGAGAATTTTTTAATTCTGGAGGGATCAGGTAGGGAAAAAACAAGTAAATGTTTCACCTTTGGTCATAACTGTATATCTTACCAAATTGTTGATAGCTTAAGAGAAAAGATAAAAAGGTTTCCTAAAATCTGGAAAAGAAAACATTAGACAACCAGTAGTGTTTTAAACAAGAAGTCATACAAATGATAATCATCCTCTCCTCCTCAATTCACTCATGCCCATGTAATTAACATCTGTCCTATTTGAATCCATTTTTCCCACTAGTTCTGGAAGTTCTCACCCAGTTCAGTTGCTTGATCTGAAAGTTATCAGGAACCTGTATTCTAGAGTACCCGTTAGATTCTTTTCCATGAATTTCTCTGAGGATAAAACACATTTGCAGGAAGCTTTTGTAAAACAGTAACTCTCTGTACATGATAAAAGACCAGAAATGCCCATTATTAAAGATGTGATGAGAGTTCATTCTTAATGGAATTGCCAAAGGGACTTACCCATGGCCCTTGGAAATGGTGAGAAAGACAGTAAACTCAGTGTTTGCAGAGTTTTATGCCTGTTTCTTGGTGTCCCCAAAGCTGTCAGAAGTGCCCTTTGCTCTGGCCTCTGCCACCAAATCTGTTAAATAACAAAAATTCAGCTGAGTAAATTTAAAGATCAAAGTAGCTTCATTCAATGATTCATGAATCAGATAGCATCTCCTCGAGCGAACAGAAAGCAGCTTCATTGAGCTGTGGCAAAGAATGCCTTGTTTTAGGCAAAGTGGCCCTCCTAAGGGGTCTATCAGCACATTGCCGCCTAGCGGTGACCTAAAAATTCCAGGTTGGCTGGTTAAAGGTCACATTTCTGGGAGAAACTGAAGCTACCGTTAGGTTAGGTATTAAGTCTTGGTGGAGTTTAGCATAAGTGACTTTATTTTGGGCCTGCTGTCTCCTTTTTAACAGTTGGAACGTTTTGGAAGAGTGCGTTGTGATCAAAAGCAGCATTATAAGTGAGATTACATATATCTTCATGGAGTTGACGGCTGTTCCTGGCTGTCTCCATCCTTTCAGAGACAGGCTTGGCACACACAAGCACGCATATGCTTTATTGTGGGTCGCTAGTCCTGTGTTCCTGTATTTCTCTTTCTTCTTTGATGCTGCAAATCCTTCAGTGAGTTCATGAGAAAGGGAAGCGTTTTGGGGTTTGTTTTGTTTTTTTTTTTTTCCCGTTCCTCCCCCCTCCCCTTCTGGCCACTACCACTCTGTTCTCTGTATCTATGAGCTTGTTTTGTTTTGTGTTTAGATTTCACCAGTAAGAGCGATCATCCTGTATCTGCCTTTCTCTGACTGCTTTCACTGAACACACTGCCCTCGAGGTCCATCCACATCGTTTCAAATGGCAAGATTTCCTTCTGTTTTAAGGCCTGAACTCTTATCCATGTTGTATTCTAAAATCACTTTTCATTTCCTGCAGAACTTTGTTTTCCCTGGAGTTAAAAACTGTCTTTAAATCGGCAAAATATATGCCCATTTTATCACTGATTCGGCCCCACACTTCCCCACTAATTTGTTAAGTGACTTCTTTTACCCTCTCCTGACCCCAGTATTTTGTGTTTTTGTATGGGTTTATTTGCAGTCCTCGTGAGAGAGCCTTGGTGGGTTTTCTCATTTTAGAAACTCCAGAACTTTGGTTCTGAAAATGTTTGTTTGTTGATGACTTCTTTCCTTCCATTTTTTATAGTCTCTTTCTACAATTTCTGTTATTCACCTATTTACCTCCTCAGACGGTCCTCTTATTTTCTTAGTTTCTCTATATTTTGTTTGTTCGTTCTACTGTATCTTCCAATCCTTGCAACATTTCATTTCTACTATCATACTCATAATTTCCGAAGGCTCTGTTTGTTTTCTGAATGTTTCGTTTTGCAGTATGCTGTTCTTGCATCATGGATGCAATACTAATCACAGGTTTTTATTGCTTGTTTCCTTCTCCCTGCATACCCTTGGCTGCCCCTTCATTTTTTGTTTATTTCTTTGTCTCTTCGTTTTGAATTCTATTTTTATCTTAGAGGCTTTCTTCAGATGTGTGGTACTCCTTGACCATCTGCTTTCATTTCAGAGTGAGGTAATAAAAAGCTGATCGGTAGCCGTGAGCCTTCAGTGGGATTCATCCATGCTGAACTGGTCTGTTGGGTGACCTAGTGAAGGTCTGGTGGTTTCAGTGGAGGACCTCTAATGGCAGGATCTTTAGGTCTTCCTTCTTGTACTGGTCAGATTTTCCAGAGAACTATCTTTTGATTTTCTATCTGGAATTATAGAACTGGCATCCTGGGAGCTGAGTAAGGAGGAGAGTGTCCAGGTAAACCCAGGTTCCTCTGATTCTAAGCCTGAGCATGTAACCATTACCCAATGTATCATTTTCTCTCCCCTTCACCCCAGTTTAGTTTCATGTGTTGACTACTTACCCCGTGTCTAAAGGCTAAGTCTAATTAGAACCACTGGTCTAAATGCTGGGGATGAAGACATCATGAGGACACCCTACTCCCCCCACTCCCAGGTTCGATTTAAGTCAATAAAAGCTATTGAGCTTAAGAATTCAAAGTTCTATGCCAGCACTGTGGAGAGGGAATGTGTCAGTAAGACACAGTCTCAAAAAGCTGTTTCAGAAAGCTCATAGATAGGTGTGGCAGGTAGAAACAAATTATGAAACCAAAATACAAGGCAGAACATGACCTAAGTGCAGCAAAAGAAAGGACAGGAAGATGAGATTCATCTGGATTGTGGGGATATGAAGGAAGTAGGGATTTGAATTGGAGCTTTAAAACTGCACAGGGTTTGCATGCAGAAGTGGGGTATAAGCAAAAGCAAAGGTCCAAAGATTTTTAAATGGAGTTTTAGGACCCTCCTTCTCCTCCCTGCAGGGTGATTCTGGGGGCCCTCTCCATTGCCTTGTGAACGGCAAGTATGCTGTCCATGGAGTGACCAGTTTCGTGTCCAGTCTGGGCTGTAACGTCTCCAGGAAGCCCACAGTCTTCACACGGGTCTCTGCTTACATCTCCTGGATCAATAATGTAAGTGCTCTCAAATGACAGGTTGAAACAGGGTCACCTGGAGACCCATACACTGGCGGGGCTGGGGAGCGATAATTAGACAGGGAGGCCATCATCTTCCTTACCACATTCGTTTACTCCTTTCCCTTGCCTCCATGATGCATCTCCCCTCAATAATGCTGCCATCCCAAGTTCCCCTCTGCATACCCGCTCAGCCGACATCACCCAAGTGCTTACTGTTTAGGGTAAGGTGGTGACAACAGCAGACCTCAACCGGACATATGGCAGTGCTGTCCTAAGTCAAAGCCAAGAGAAAAACAGCTTCAGAAAGTCCTGCGTGCACCTGGGAAAGGGAAGAGTCACTAACATTTTCTCCCATGAGCTCTTTCTAAGGGCATTATGAGAATCTGCTCTACCCTTTAGCAAGAGGTTTTACTACCTTAGATGATGCTTGAAGGTTAGATGAGGCTTTACCTACACTGACCTGGTGGTAGCTTCACAATCATCCCACCAATGCCCTCTAGCCTTCAAACACACTCTGGAGTCTCGTGGCGTGAACTTTGATTCACAACCATTTCAAGGCCTATTCTTGCCACTAGGTGCTACATATGTGCCTAGAACACTGAATTGTCCTGACACAGCTGAGACTGAGACCTACTTCCTACCATACACCTACCCTCCCTCCCCCCTCCCCCCACCCCCCAGCCCACCCAACTCCCTCAACTCCCCTCAGAAACCCAGGGCCGGGCTACACTCAACCAGGAGCCCTGAAGAAAACAGAAGGGAGGGAGGCAGAAGTTACTGACTGTGGACATATTGGCTTTTCCTTCAGGTCATTGCTTCCAACTGAATGTCTTCCTGAATCCCATGGCCTTCCCAAGATGATGCTTAGACCCACGAAAGGACTTGAGGCCATCAAGGAAAAAAAACATTCTGAGAGGCCATTGAGCCAGATCCAGAAAAGCAAATAAAACTGAATATGCATGATCATCCTGAGTCTTTTTGTTCGCCATTAGGCCTTCTAGAGGAAATGGAGTTATAGGACCCAAGTTGGATTTCACATTTCTGTGCTGGATCTTCTGTTTACTGCCATTTCACAAACTACGCCAAGTGGGAGCGGTTTTACGTTACTCTTTTTTGCATCCTTTTAGGATCCACCTAGCCATTAATCTGCCCACCTGGTATTTTCTCCCATGTACATTTGCTATATGCAAAGGCACAGAGTGCTTTCGAATGTTCTTGAGTGACGAAGCGTGCCCTGACTCTCCCAGGTAGATTGTGGGCTCATCCTTCTTTTGTTCCCCCCTCCAGTGCCTAGAACAGGCGCTCGCCCCACGGTTCTGGGCGATGGTAACTGCTAGGAAACACTACAGATCGGAGGATAGGCTTCAGTAGTAGGTCAGATGCCAGCAGACAAAGAAAGTGACAAATTACAAAGGAGGCTAGGGAGGCGAGAATAGAAAAAAAAGGAGAAGATACTGAATGAAGAAAGGAAAGGGTTGAGCAGAACGAAAAGGGAGAAGAGACCGCAATACAGGGCCTCCAGCTAAGTGTGAGTCAGCATGTCAAGGCCAGGACTGAAATAGACCACCGGATCTAGGGCTCTGTAAACCACAGAGAACTGGGAAGCTGATAATTCTGCCTCATCCTGGCCGGGGCTCAGTCTGTTGGAGTGGCCTACAATCGACCGAACAGGGAACCAAAAGAAGGCTAAGAGGTTGAGAAGCAGCTTTTCATAGCGATCACAGAGGACCAGACCGGAGGGAATAGGTAGTTAACATTATAACAGGAGAAACCGGCTAAGACTGGTCCTGGAATGTGCAGGCTGCTAAGTCAGCAGAGGCCTCTGGAACAGTGTAGGCATGCACTGTAAGAAGCTGGGTCAGGACGACTGCGTCCCCATCTCAATTCCAACACCGAGGAACCGGGGAGCCTCTGGGCAAGTCACCAGCTTTTTCTGACTCACTTTCCTCCTCTAGTTAACTTCTGAAGACCGTCCGTGCTCTAAAACCACAGGATTTGGTGATCATCAATTTCAGTTCCCAAGAGACTGGCATGGAAGAGAGCTTCTTAGGAAGCAGTGGCTGGGGGCTGTGTGGCTGAGGATGCCGTGGACTCCTGTGAGTGACATCGGTGTTGCCCTCCTTCTGCTAGTGACAGACCTGTTATCATCACCATCTTCTCTCAGTGTTCCCACAGCACCGCCATCCTCTGGCCTTCTCCCCTCTTCTTCCCATACAACATCAAGTCCTTCCATTTTCTGTACTCTCACCCCTTCTAGAACAGCCCCACGATGAACATCCAGAATAAACCCTAATGATGTAGAACCTGACAATTTTGTATCCACCTCTATAAATGCATTAAGCACATAATATTATAATCGTCTGATGACCAGCCCATCTCCACCTTCAGACTTCAAGCATCTTGAGGTCAGAGACTGCATTTTTAAAAATTTATCTTGGGGCGCTTGAGTGGCTCCGTCGGTTAAGCATCCAACTTTGGCTCAGGTCATGATCTCACAGTTCATGGGTTCAAGCCCTGCGTGGGGCTCTGTGCTGACAGCTGGGAGCCTGGACCCTGCTTTGGATTCTGTGTCTCCCTCTCTCTGCCTCTCCCCCCCAGCCCAAAAATGAACAAATGTTAAAAAAAAATTTTTTTTTTTATTTTATCTTGGTTTCCCAACACCCAGCAATGCCCGCACACAGCTGACCCTGAGGGCAGTATGTCTGTTTGGGGGAATGGCCTGTAAAACAATCGAAGACAAGCCTCCCTCTCCACACTCCTCAGGAAATTATTCTGATCCTCTTCCCTTCCTGGAGGAATGTTACCTCCGCTGTAAAATCCGTGAGTAAATGGTTCCTCCAAACCTACTGTTCCTAATTTCCAGCTATCCCCTCAAGGGAGACAGGAAGTAACTTCCTTTCGGGAACCTTCTCCCTCGGGAAGGCACAGATGTAATCTCAGCAGCCTCGTCCCCACTTTCCTGGTCTGTCTTCACTCTGCCTCCACCCAGTACAGGCCCTAGTCTGTCCAGCCAGAAAGTCTGCCCCCTCCCCCCACCCCAGCACGAGCTTCCATTCTCTCCTCCCCAGTCCTTTTCCAGTAAGATCCTCTCCTTTCCGGGGGACCCCCATTTCTACCTCTGGCTCAGTTGTTGCTCCCTTTCAAATCCGCCTGTGGAGTCCTGTCCCTTTCCGCGCTCTATCCCTACCAGTTCTAGGCTTACTGCCAACCTCTCCGCAGAGGCTTTCCATCTTGAAAATCCCTGGCACCAGAAGCGCATTTTACTCGACAACCCAGGAGACGTGCCCGCGGACGTGAAACACGTTTCCCCGATGTGGTCAATCCCCGTGCTAAGTGGAGATCGCGATCTTTTCTACCCCATCGTTCCAGTGGCTTCCCGGTGCTGAGGGTTTCGGCGAATCGGCTTTCTGGCGCGAACGTGTCCTGGCTCGCAGGAGAAAACTCGGTTCCCTGGGGCTGGCGCGCCTGTCCCTCGGGGCTGCGCAGCACTGACGCTGGGCTTGACTGAGCGCCGCCTGAGGGCAGGCCCAAGTTTCCAGCCTCCTCCTGAACAGGTGCAGCCCCCAACCTGGGCTCCAGAAGTGCCCGGTGGCCTCGGGGCGGGGGGCTGAGCGGCGGTGGGCGTGGGGGCCTCAGGGCCACCGTGGCGGCGCTGGGAGGGGGCCTCTCGGAGAGCCCGTGGGGGTCTCGAGCGGCGTGGGGCGGGGCGGCCACGGCCACGGCCGGATGCGAGGCATGCTGGGAACCGCACTTCCTCCTTGGGGGCCTCCAGAAAACCACAGGTCGCTGGGCCCAGTCTACCCGGAGCCGGCAGGATGGCGGAGGGCAAGGCGGGTGGCGCCGCCGGCCTCTTCGCCAAGCAGGTGCAGAAGAAATTCAGCAGGGCCCAGGAGAAGGTATGTGGCCGGCCCGCACCACCTGCCCTTCCGGCCGGCCTGGCTCTGCGACAGAGCGGTGTGCGGTGGGGGTGTGTGTGGGGGGTGGGGTGTCCGGGGGGCCTGGGCTGAACAGAAGGTCCCAGGCAGACGGGAATGGGAGTGGATTTTCCTTAAACTACAAAGAGTTGATAGAGAACAGAAAAAAGCTACCCGTTCTTGGGCAAGGGTAGGGAAGCAGAGGAGACCGCAGTCTCCCTCGGGAACCCTAAGTAATGCTCAGGCGACCCAGGAAAGGTGGGAGAAAGGAACCAACATTGGCAGATTTGTCCTAGCAACCCAGCCAGGGTGCTCTTTCACAGAGGATGAAATTGAAGGTTGCAAGAGGGCATTCTCCCCAAAGTGACGACAGCGATGACCAGCTGTGCTGCCAGCGGGGACCGCCCAGTCCACAAGGACTCCGTAACCTAACCCCGCCTGGCCTCTGGGCAGTGTTTAAGCTGATGTGAGCAGTAGCCCGTATCTGCTTTCTGTGCGTTGGAAAGTACACGGTCCAGGATGATGAAGGAGCATCTCTTTTTAGATTGGGTCCTTGGTTGGCTCTGGGTGGCCTTACTCCAGCGTCAACATTGAGGTAGGCTGTCCGCCTGTAACACTTCTCTACACATTATTATTTTTATTTATTTATTTACTTTGAGAGAGAGAGAAAGGATGAGCTGGGGAGGGGCAGAGGGAGAAGAAGAGAGAATCTGAAGCAGTCTCCACACCCAGCCCAGAGCCTGGAGCCTGAGGCAGGGCTCCGTCCCAGACTCTGGGATCATGACCCGAACTGAAATCAAGAGTTGAGGCAGAACTGGCTCAGCCACCAAGGCGCTCCTCGACACATTTTAGTGACATTCTTGTTTCTTCCTTTTTTTTTTTTTCAATGTTTATTTATTTTTGAGAGAGAGAGTGCAAGTGGGGAAGGGACAGAGATAGGAGACAGAGAATCCAAAGCAGGCTCCGCACTGACAACGCAGAGCCCGAGGTGGGGATTTGAACCCACAAGCTGCGAGATCATGACCTGAGCCCGAGTTGGACACTTAACTGACTGATCCACCCAGGCGCCCTGTGACATTCTTGTTTCCACCTGTCCAGGGTGTGTCCTTCCCCTTTAACCTGAACCTCTGCTCTCCACGTAGCAACACTCTGATAGATGGATCTCCTTTTTCTGCCTTTGAGGAAGCCGGGGTCATATGAAAGAGTGGAGGAAAAGGCCAGATTTTGTGTGGCTCGACTTCATTACTTCACCTTGCTCTGATTTCACCTTGATCACGATTTTAGCCTCTTCGAAGGCTGTCTCATTACAAATCTGATAGAGATCAGAGCCTGTGGGAAGGTCTAGTTAGAAGTGGTGTGGAAGAGAAGGAGCTACCAGCTACATGACGGGTTGGAAAAAACAAGAAAACCCAGGAGACAAAAAATTCATGGATAATAGTTTGGTTTTTTTTTTTAATTTTTTTTAATGTTTATTTTTGAGAGAGAAAGACAGAACACAAGCGGGGGAGGGGCAGAGAGAGAGAGGGAGACACAGAATCCAAAGCAGGCTCCAGGCTCTGAGCTGTCAGCACAGAGCCCGACATGGGGCTCGAACCCACAAACCGTGAGATCGTGACCTGAGCTGAAGCCAGACACCCAAAGGACTGAGCCACCCAGGCGCCCCGATAATAGTTATTTTTAAAAGACACAACAGTTGACTTTACCTCACTGTTTCACCTTCTGTCCTCATCCAGCCTATCATCAACACTATGCCCTTGGGGATTTGTCTCCTTTTCTAAGCATGGACTCCAAAGCTTTAGATAAGTAACGTCCCTGCTCTGGGTTTCAGATTCTGCACATGTAAAAATGAGAGTGGTGATGCTTAGTGACTTGGAAATTCAACGTGGTAAGGATGCAAGAGTGAGAAGGGGAGAGGGTTCCTTGAACCTCAGAAGCAAATATTCCCCAAAGGGAGAACCAGCCACCCAGGTAACCTGTTCTTCCTGGTCTGAACCCTGAGAATGCAGAGAGAGGAGCTACCTCACCTCTGCCTTGGGGACCTTTCCAGGTTAAGGCAGAAAACGGGAGGATGCTCTGAACATAGACATAAACACAAGGGCGGGCAGACATTGAACTTGGAGCAGTACAGTTGGCACCGTAGAGGCAGCGGCTGCTGCCTGGATAGAGTGGGAATGGCCTGGAATGTGAGGAGGAGCTCAGCCCAGCCTGCCAGAGTCCTTGAGTCTTGACACGTTATTGAAGGCAAGAGAGAGAGGGAGAAAGTTACAGTCAAAACAAAGGACTCCCTGGAACAATTTGTAGTTTTTGTATAAGCAGTTGGCTGTAATCTAAGTAATACATAGCAACCACAGTGTCAAATAGATGTGTCAGGTATCGAGTGCCGATTATGGTCGAGGCAGAGGACTTCAGGAAAGACACGATCTCTCTCTCTCTTTATGGAGCCAACGCTCTCGTGATAGGATCTCATTTCACCTTTGCCGCCCTTTGTGCATGTTATTAATATCCCAATTTTAGAAATGAAGAAGCGAGGCTCAAAAGAGATCGGCAAATGGCAGAACTGTCACTGAAACCCAGGTGTCCCGCCTTTGGATCCCAACCTCAGGCCCGCTCTCTCTACAAGCCTCCTGATAAACCACTGTGACATCTGTGCTTGCCCACTTCCTGCTGACCCTCTCTCTCAGGAGCAAAGCTGGGAGTAGAAACGCCTTTTGCTCAGTCCCTCTCCTCTGAAAATCTAGGCGTGAAGGTCCAGTGACCGTCACACACGAGGGAGATGAAGCATTCTTGTTTTATTTTCCAGTCTCCACCCAGACGCAACATGAGACTGAGTTGTGTCTTTACAGGAAGATGTGTCTTCACAGTTCAGATGAGTGCTTTCACCATCCACGATTGCTCTGTGGCAAATGGCTCGGAAGGGGCATTGTGTTACCCCTCCTTTGCTGGTCTTTTCCTCTACTGACTTTTACTCAACCGGTCTCCCAGAGGGTTCTGTCAACAATACTTAACCGAGAAATTCCTTTGCCCGGGGTTCCTGGGCTGGACCCAGGAAGGAATTTAGAGATGAATAAGAGGCACTCTCGCCTGCCAGAAGCTTACAGTCTAGTTAAAAAAAGAAAAAAAAAAAAATTGGTGAAATGAGTCACCTGAGAGGTCTGCAGTCTGTGGGAATTCAGAGGAGAGAAAGACTGAGGAGAATTGAGCGAGGTTTTATAGCAGAGGCGGAATTTGAGGTAGGAATGATGGCCGATTAGTAGTTCCTCAGGCAAGTGGGGGGGATGGAACATTCTAGCTGAGGAAATGCCAGCATGAGCCAGGCAGGGAGTGTGGAAAACCGTTGAGGCAGAATAGTGAGAAATGCAGGTGAGCTGGAGTACAGGGATCGGTGGCAGAAAAGACGGGAGAGGAAATTTAGGGCCACGCTAAGGAAAAGCCTACTTTTTTTTTTTTTAATTTTTTTTTTTTTTAATGTTTATTTATTTTTGAGACAGAGAGCATGAACGGGGGAGGGTCAGAGAGAGACGGAGACACAGAATCTGAAACAGGCTCCAGGCTCTGGGCTGTCAGCACAGAGCCTGATGCGGGGCTCGAACTCACGGACTGCGAGATCATGACCTGAGCCGAAGTCGGTCGCCCAACTGACTGAGCCACCCAGGTGCCCCAGGAAAGCCTACTTTAACGTATATCCCGAAAATGAGGATTTCTCACAGAAACTGCAATATTGTTATCACACCTAAGAAAAAAATTTTAACAAAAATCTGTCATCTCTAATAGCCAGGCCCTATTCAAATGACCCCAATTGAGAGGGTTAATTAAAATATCATAAATGACGGGGCGCCTGGGTGGCGCAGTCGGTTAAGCGTCCGACTTCAACCAGGTCACGATCTCGCGGTCCGGGAGTTCGAGCCCCGCGTCAGGCTCTGGGCTGATGGCTCGGAGCCTGGAGCCTGTTTCCGATTCTGTGTCTCCCTCTCTCTCTGCCCCTCCCCCGTTCGTGCTCTGTCTCTCTCTGTCCCAAAAATAAATAAAAAACGTTGGAAAAAGAAAATTTTAAATATCATAAATGATTAGGGGGAAGGGTCCTGGTAGGGACCTATAGCCACGAAACATCTGCAGTGAATTTTTTTGTAATCGCTTTTTCTCTTGTTCCTCTTCTTCCTCTCTAAACGCAGAATTCTTAGTGTAGAACTTTAGAGAACTGGCATTGGGTGCACTGTCATTAGGAAGTGAACCAAAGGTAGAATGTATTAATTCTTTCAGATGTTTGTTCAGCACTCTACATTCTCTTCCGTCAGAGAACTTTCGTTGCGGGAGAACATCTACAACACGGCGTGAGTGCCTGGATACGCAGCCCTGTTGCTTATGGCAACAAAGGACTTTGGGCCCAGGGCACTGGTTATGCTCTGAGGGCGATCACACTCGTCTTGCAGTTTCACAGTTGAAGGTGGGAGTGTTCAGTTCACATGCTCACACCCCTTCTAAGCCTTTTTGCCTTGAGCCTTTTGGGGGTTGGGGATATTGGGCATGCCACATTTACTCTAGCCGGGGTTTACTCAGCCCCTTCCACCTAAGAACACCCCCCAGCCCCTCCAGGCAAAGGAAGGGAGGAGTAGCAGGAAGGAAGTGAGAGCTGCGATTACCACTTAGACAAGGTGGTTTTGCAACTTTCTGTTGTCTGGGGTGGGGGTGGGGGGTGGGGGTGCAGGGAAGATGGCAGACCGGGTGTACCCAGGGTCAGGTGTTCAATGAGCTGGAGTCAGAGACACAAACATACGGCTGAACTGAGAAGGAAATACGCACTCATAGGGAAGGGAGTGCAATTGGACATAATGCTAATGGATTTGTATTGAGCACTCACCAAAGGGCAGCACTGAGAATGTATGTCATTTAATTCTCCGGACAACTCCAGGAGATGCTGTTGTGTAAACAGAGGCTCAAGAGACGGATAGGCTTATTTGCCTAAAGGCTTAGAGCCATAAATCGAAAGGCCAAGATGGGGCATGTGTCTGTCAGACTCCAGAGCCCTTGATCGTAACCACTACAGAGAGAGCTCCAGAAGTTGGAGATGCTAACCACTGGGTTAAGAATGGGGACACATGTGGGAGTGCAAGCTGGTGCAGCCACTCTGGAAAACAGTATGGAGGTTCCTCAAAAAACTAAAAACAGAACTACCCTACGACCCAGCAATTGCACCACTAGGCATTTATCCAAGGGATACAGGAGTGCTGTTTCGAAGGAACACGTGCACCCCCATGTTTATAGCAGCACTATCGACAATAGCCAAAGTATGGAAGGAAAGAGGCCAAATGCCCATCGATGGATGAATGGATAAAGATGTGGTATATATATACAATGGAGTATTACTCGGCAATCAAAAAAGAATGAAATCTTGCCATTTGCAACTACGTGGATGGAACTGGAGGGTATTCTGCTGAGTGAAATTAGTCAGAGAAAGACAAAAATCATATGACTTCACTCAGATGAGGAATTCAAGAGACAAAACAGATGAACATAAGGGAAGGGAAACAAAAATAATATAAAAACAGGGAGGGGGACAAAACAGAAGAGACTCATAAATATGGAGAACAAACTGAGGGTTACTGGAGGGGTTGTGGGAGGGGGGGATGGGCTAAATGGGTCAGGGGCACTAAGGAATCTACTCCTGAAATCATTATTGCACCAAATGCTAACTAATTTGGATGTAAATTTTAAAAAATAAAAAATAAAATTAAAAAAATAGAATGGGACACATGGCGGGGTGGGGGCGCCTGGGTGGCTCAGTAGGTTAAGCGGCCAACCTCTGCTCAGTCCATGATCTCATGGCTCAAAGGCTCATGAGTTCGAGCCCCGCGTCGGGCTCTGTGCTGACAGCCCAGAGCCTGGAGCCTGCTTCCAATTCTGTGTTTCCCTCTCTCTCTGCCCCTCCCCTGCTCACACTCTGTCTGTCTGTCTCTCTCTCTCTCTCTCTCTCTCTCACAAAAATAAATAAACATTAAAAAAAAAAAAAAAGAATGGGGACATATGGTCAGGGCACCTGGGTGGCTCAGTCAGTTGAGCCTCCAACTTTTGATTTTGGCTCAGGTCATGATCCCAGGGTAGTGGGATGGAGCCGCGCTCAGCACAGAGCCTTTTTAAGATTCTCTCTCTGTCCCCCTCTGCCCCTCTCCCCAGCTTGCGTGTGCTCTCTCTCTCTCTAAAAAAAATATGAAAGAATGGGGACATGTGGGCCCAAGTATCTATGTAGAGCCTTCCTCACTCCCCAAGACCTGGGCACTCTTGCACGTGATTCAAAGCCCTTCATGACGAGACTCCAGTTTCCCTTTCTGGCTCCCTTACCCACTAGTCCCCCTAACACACCCTAAACCAGCCGTGCTGAGTCATCTCACAAAGCGGTGTGAATGTGGGTGGGTATTTCTGTGACTTTGTCCTCTTTCCACCCTTCCCCCTTATACTCTATTCCAGTCTAGCGAAATCTTAATTCAAGTCCCAGCCCATTGGTCAGTCCCCTCCCGTTGTCAGTCCCACTCTCCCTCCCGTTAGAAGTATTAAGTATCTCTTTGCTGGGTACTGAGAAATCTAGATGAGTAAGGCAAGTACCCAGTTCTCAAGGAGCCTACAGTTTAGAAGGAGACATAGCTAGATAAACCTAAATCATAAAATGGTAATAGAGGGGCGCCTGAGTGGCTCAGTCGGTTAAGTGTCCGACTTCGGCTCAGGTCATGATCTCACAGACTGTGAGTTCAAGCCCCGCGTCAGGCTCTGTGCTGACAGCTCAGAGCCTGGAGCCTGCTTCAGATTTTGTGTCTCCCTCTCTCTCTGCCCCTCCCCTGCTCATGCTCTGTCTCTCTCTGCCTCAAAAATAAATAAAAACATTTAAAAATTAAAAAAAAAACGGTAATAGAAATGTATACAAGGTGTAGAAGTTGCAAACACTTAGAAGGGAGTGATTAACTCGATTAATGGGATAAAGTGGTTAAGTGTCATAAAGGATATAGAGTATGAATTTTTTTTTAATTTTTTTAAAGTGTGCATATGTATGTAAATAATCTCTAGGGGCGCCTGGGTAGCTCAGTCAGTTAAGCATCTGACTTCAGCTCAGGTCATGATCTCGCAGTTCATGGGTTTCAGCCCCTCATTGGGCTCCATGCTAACAGCTCAGAGCCTGAAGCCTGCTTCCAATGCTGTGTCTCCCTCTCTCTTTCTACCTCTCCCCCACTCATGCTCTGTCTCTCTCTGTCTCCCCAAAATAAATACATGTTCAAAAAAATTTTTTTAATAATTTTTATAGCCAACGTGGGGCACAGACTCACAACCCCAAGATCAAGAGTAACTGAGACACGTATGGGCATTTCATGCAAATTTGTTGAGCAGGCAAGTGGAGAATCATTAGAAGGTTTTAAGCAGATGCAGGAGAGTAACAGGAAGGGCCCGGAACACAGTTATGACCGCGAGACTAGAAAGCATGGGACGGTTTCCAGAGATGGACATATTGAGGGATTTGATGAAGGAGGTGAGGGAGAAGTAGTTGAGGGCAACTTCTGAGATTCTAACTTCGGCCCAGGGGCAGCGTGATGACAGTGCCTCCTCCCAACATGGGGGCTACAGGTGGAAGATGCAGGGCTTTCTTGCTTGTGTACAAGTGAGTGTCCGCTGTGTGAAGAGGCACCGTATCTTTTTCATTTTCCTGTCCTTTATATTAGTGCTGAGACCAATATGGTGGTTGGCTCCCAGGAGAGAGGAGATAGAGAGCATTCATTTCGAGCTGGGTTCTAAATGCGTTGTGTCGGTCTTCTTCAGCGTTTTCCACAAGGGCTCTCCTAAGAGAACAGTCTCCTGCCTGCCTCTAACCTCATCTATCTAGAGGAATCTGGGGCTGTGGCTGGAAGACCATCTCTCAAGTGAAAAGTACCTTCAAGGCTCATATTTTATCGTTAGGGCTGCATATTTTACATTCTTATTAATCCTTGTTTTAATATAATACTTTACCCCAGCCCACCCCCGGAACCCCACTGTAAATAATATTGTAATTCCAGGCATGTATGCCATATTTATTCTGGGCTTTGTATATACACCCCTGCACACTGCCAGATACCCTCAGGCATACCCCAATTTGAGAAGAACCACCAAATACGATTTTTTTTTTTCCAACAGTGCACTCTATATTTTTTAAATTCCATTGGGCTGATACGAGTACAGCCCTTTAATTGCATCCGAGACTCTGAGAAGCTAGGGTCATAGGAGGCCAACAGATGAGAGGGACTTGACTCCACCTCACTGACCTTTCCAACTTATATTCCCAGGTTCTGCAGAAGTTGGGGAAGACTGTGGAAACCAAAGATGAACGGTTTGAACAAAGTGCCAACAACTTCCACCAGCAACAGGTAATCTGGAGGGTGGGGAGGGGGAGCTTGGAGGAAGAAGGGAGACCTGAGGGCCGGGTAGCAGAAGAACAGTAGGTTTGGGCAAGCCAACAGGCATCCCTCCTACCCCACCCTCCCCCCGGGGTTGGGGGGCAAGGGCCACGGAGTAACCTGCTGCTTCTTGTTTCTCTGGGAACCAGAGACGCTTTCCTTTCTTGTTCCCACCGACCCTGGGTTTTGGGAGACAGACAAGTGTTCTTTCCTCTTAGTGGTTCCCCCGGGGTACAGCGGCATCCCTAGGTCCTTGGACAAAGTTGGAACGAGCCCCTGCCACTTTAGTCTTTGGCTGATCACTTCCTCAGGGTGCCTCTCTCCCACCCTACTAGGCTCTCCCATCGTAGTAGCCCCCGATTTTCCTTGTTGCCTCTTTGGCCACTACATCTCCCTGGCCGAAGCCCAGAATTCTAAGTGATCCGTCCATCTTTCACCTGTCATTCTCACCAGCAAACCTCCTATTGTCTCGGTTCCTTCTACCTTCACTGGCTGCTATGGGTAATTCTCTTACAGAAAATTTACATTGAGAAGTGGGCAATAGGTGTAGGCTTCCATGGGATATTTCACTTTTTTTTTTTAAGTTTATTTATTTTGAGAGAGAGTAAGCACGAATGGGGGGGGGGGGCAGAAGAGAGGAAGAGA